AGTTATTTTCTATAGAAATTTTTTACTTTGGTGCTTTATTCTACCCGTGCTGCGTATTAAGCCCAAAGGAAGCAAGATATACAAAATGTTTACTTTGCGAAAGATACAAAAGCGATTTGATTATAAGACGTGTAGGAGTTTTTATAATGTGTTTATCGTACACATATTGTAAAGAATCAGACTTGTTTTCAAAGTGCCTATATCAATAATTAAAAGCAAATGCTACAATTGTGCTTTTTTTCTTCATACACGAACAAATGCATTTTAATGGAGAAGAAATAATAAATGGTCATCCATTTCCCTCTGATAGCATTTCTTCCGGATGTTCAACTGATCTGCCTGTCTGCTTTAGATAAGCCCAATTTATCTAAAGGCGAATAGACTACCGCTTTCACTATTATTGTAACCTCTCGTCTTATAGGTACATATCTTTTAATTTTAGTGAAAACAATTAGACTTGGTGATTTATATCATGGCAAAAATGCCAAAATAATTCAGACTTTCTAAAATGTTAAATAATTTCAGTATTCGCCCTCCAATAGCTGCTTCTTACAAAACACCTGACATGGCTTAAATCACGATGTATGCTGCGTTGTGTATATCTACTTGTTGGATTTTCTCATTACCAATAACTGCGTGAATTATTAAATTGGGTTTAGTAAAAAGTCACGTGGTAATTACCAAGGAATTATAAAAGAATTAGCAAAACTAAGACGGTAGGAAACCAGATCAAGATAATCGGACTGACTAGTTAAATCACTTAAAATAACGAAAATGAATGTTAGGCTGTAATGCATTTGCTTAATTTAGCCCATTTCCAAGTAGTTCAGCGTAAACAAAGACGAAGACATCGATGCTGCTCAAATGCATCACGAATTTTTCTCAGTCTCTGCTCGACGCTGACCAGATCGTGTAAAATATTTTAATCCTGACATTTTGTGCTGTCCCTGCTTTTATTCAGTTTTACTTCTTTCCTCACTGCTGACTCTTCAGGCCTTGCTTTCGCTATATTTGTGTGTCACTTTGCCGACATCAAAATATCTTGCCTAAATATTCCAATTTCTTGTTGCACTGGCACAACCATTGCATGTCAGGTGAAGAATTAGTTTAGTGGAGTTTTAGGGAAAGAAGTGCATCAATGGTTAGCATAAGAGATTATTGCGGGGATGGGAATGACAGTCATAAAGGGGACAATCTATGAATGGATACAAGAAAGAAAATTGGAATGAACGAATGACGGATGGAATGAATTAGCACTCTTCTCTCCTTGCCTTGGTGTATTTGTGTGTTACTTTGCTGATACCAAAGTATCTTGTGTAAATATTTTAATTTTTATTGCACTGGACAGGAATCATTGCAAGTTAGATGATGGAGTTATTTTAGAGGAGTTTTAGGGGGGATATGCTTTAATGGCTAAAGCGAGGTGATGCGGGGAGGGTTTTCATACTCTCATGTTAAATAACCCATGAATGAGTGGGTGATAGAAAACTGGAAAAAAGAAATGCCATACTAAATGAATTAGCATTCAGATCTCTTTAATTTTAATTACCACTTTGCAACATTCTAATAATGCTTTACATTAAAGGCATTTGTATAGTAAGGTTTGCCCTATTAATAAATTAAAAAAAGCATAAAAAGGCTGTGATCTCCGGTTTTCACCATATTGACTAAGGGAAGATTTAGGGAGACACAGTTTAAATCGCTCTAACAAACATTCCTTACTATCATTCTTACGTGCGTACTTACACTTGCATATTGTCCTCGAGATTCAGTGCTTCCATTTGTGGAATTGATAGGATTGAGCTTATGTAAAACTATCCCCGAAACGCAGGTACTCACATTGACACTCGCCTGATTAAATAGTGTTGATATTTTACTTATTGGGCATGGAGAGAATGTGAACTATACTAAATCAAACGATAAGTGAAAAAGGTTGTAAGGAAAAGAAGTACGCCTTTGAGCAGGAAAAGAAGGACATATATCATGCAAGGAGAGAAGAGTGGGCAGTGAAAACAAAAGCAAAGTTGTATTAAAAGTAGGTACAGCACAAAACGTTAGGATTAAAATATTTTGCACAATATGGTCATCAACGACCAACAACTGAGGAAAACTCGTGACGTACAAGTGGATTGAACTAAGTAAATGCAGCATAGCCTAATGTTCTTGCTTGCTATCTTAAGTGAGCTAGCCTGTCAGTCCAAATGTTTTGATCGGGTATCCAACAGTCCTGATTTTCGACATTTCTTCTATATTTTCTTGGTAATTTCTCCATAACTTTTCTTTGAACCTAATTTAATAATTCCCACGGTCATTGATGACTAGCAAATTTGACACGTAGATACATGCAACACGGCATACGCTGGGCAAAGGGGCATGTCAGGTCGGTTGTAAGAAGCAGTTATTGCAAGACAGATATTGAAATGATTTAATGCCTCAGAAAATTTAAATCATTTTGGCATTTTTTCTAAGGTATACCTTAACAACTCTAAATATTTTAACTAAAATCAAAAGACATGTAGATACAAGAAGGAAAGTCATAATGATAGTAAAGTCATTCTTCCGTCCGCATTTTGATAATTTGGACTCCGATGAAGTTGGCGGTCTGACCAAACATCCAGTGATTCAGTAAAGATATTGCAGAGGAAATATTAGCAGGGGAAGTGAATGACCACTTATTATTTCTATTTCATTAAAATGCATTTTTTTGTATGAAGAAAAATATTCCAGTTTTAGCATTTGCTTCCAATCAATGATGTTAGCACTTGATAAACAAGTCTGATTCTTTACAATATTTGCACAAAAACCACTTACTAGGACTCTCAGATGTCTTATAATGGAATCACATTTGTGAATTTTGCAAAGCACAATCCAGCTTAAAGTGATTCAAAACAGAAAAATAAATAGATTTTAACAGAAAGCAGCCGTGTAGGAGTTTTTATAATGTGTTTATCGTACACATATTGTAAAGAATCAGACTTGTTTTCAAAGTGCCTATATCAATAATTAAAAGCAAATGCTACAATTGTGCTTTTTTTCTTCATACACGAACAAATGCATTTTAATGGAGAAGAAATAATAAATGGTCATCCATTTCCCTCTGATAGCATTTCTTCCGGATGTTCAACTGATCTGCCTGTCTGCTTTAGATAAGCCCAATTTATCTAAAGGCGAATAGACTACCGCTTTCACTATTATTGTAACCTCTCGTCTTATAGGTACATATCTTTTAATTTTAGTGAAAACAATTAGACTTGGTGATTTATATCATGGCAAAAATGCCAAAATAATTCAGACTTTCTAAAATGTTAAATAATTTCAGTATTCGCCCTCCAATAGCTGCTTCTTACAAAACACCTGACATGGCTTAAATCACGATGTATGCTGCGTTGTGTATATCTACTTGTTGGATTTTCTCATTACCAATAACTGCGTGAATTATTAAATTGGGTTTAGTAAAAAGTCACGTGGTAATTACCAAGGAATTATAAAAGAATTAGCAAAACTAAGACGGTAGGAAACCAGATCAAGATAATCGGACTGACTAGTTAAATCACTTAAAATAACGAAAATGAATGTTAGGCTGTAATGCATTTGCTTAATTTAGCCCATTTCCAAGTAGTTCAGCGTAAACAAAGACGAAGACATCGATGCTGCTCAAATGCATCACGAATTTTTCTCAGTCTCTGCTCGACGCTGACCAGATCGTGTAAAATATTTTAATCCTGACATTTTGTGCTGTCCCTGCTTTTATTCAGTTTTACTTCTTTCCTCACTGCTGACTCTTCAGGCCTTGCTTTCGCTATATTTGTGTGTCACTTTGCCGACATCAAAATATCTTGCCTAAATATTCCAATTTCTTGTTGCACTGGCACAACCATTGCATGTCAGGTGAAGAATTAGTTTAGTGGAGTTTTAGGGAAAGAAGTGCATCAATGGTTAGCATAAGAGATTATTGCGGGGATGGGAATGACAGTCATAAAGGGGACAATCTATGAATGGATACAAGAAAGAAAATTGGAATGAACGAATGACGGATGGAATGAATTAGCACTCTTCTCTCCTTGCCTTGGTGTATTTGTGTGTTACTTTGCTGATACCAAAGTATCTTGTGTAAATATTTTAATTTTTATTGCACTGGACAGGAATCATTGCAAGTTAGATGATGGAGTTATTTTAGAGGAGTTTTAGGGGGGATATGCTTTAATGGCTAAAGCGAGGTGATGCGGGGAGGGTTTTCATACTCTCATGTTAAATAACCCATGAATGAGTGGGTGATAGAAAACTGGAAAAAAGAAATGCCATACTAAATGAATTAGCATTCAGATCTCTTTAATTTTAATTACCACTTTGCAACATTCTAATAATGCTTTACATTAAAGGCATTTGTATAGTAAGGTTTGCCCTATTAATAAATTAAAAAAAGCATAAAAAGGCTGTGATCTCCGGTTTTCACCATATTGACTAAGGGAAGATTTAGGGAGACACAGTTTAAATCGCTCTAACAAACATTCCTTACTATCATTCTTACGTGCGTACTTACACTTGCATATTGTCCTCGAGATTCAGTGCTTCCATTTGTGGAATTGATAGGATTGAGCTTATGTAAAACTATCCCCGAAACGCAGGTACTCACATTGACACTCGCCTGATTAAATAGTGTTGATATTTTACTTATTGGGCATGGAGAGAATGTGAACTATACTAAATCAAACGATAAGTGAAAAAGGTTGTAAGGAAAAGAAGTACGCCTTTGAGCAGGAAAAGAAGGACATATATCATGCAAGGAGAGAAGAGTGGGCAGTGAAAACAAAAGCAAAGTTGTATTAAAAGTAGGTACAGCACAAAACGTTAGGATTAAAATATTTTGCACAATATGGTCATCAACGACCAACAACTGAGGAAAACTCGTGACGTACAAGTGGATTGAACTAAGTAAATGCAGCATAGCCTAATGTTCTTGCTTGCTATCTTAAGTGAGCTAGCCTGTCAGTCCAAATGTTTTGATCGGGTATCCAACAGTCCTGATTTTCGACATTTCTTCTATATTTTCTTGGTAATTTCTCCATAACTTTTCTTTGAACCTAATTTAATAATTCCCACGGTCATTGATGACTAGCAAATTTGACACGTAGATACATGCAACACGGCATACGCTGGGCAAAGGGGCATGTCAGGTCGGTTGTAAGAAGCAGTTATTGCAAGACAGATATTGAAATGATTTAATGCCTCAGAAAATTTAAATCATTTTGGCATTTTTTCTAAGGTATACCTTAACAACTCTAAATATTTTAACTAAAATCAAAAGACATGTAGATACAAGAAGGAAAGTCATAATGATAGTAAAGTCATTCTTCCGTCCGCATTTTGATAATTTGGACTCCGATGAAGTTGGCGGTCTGACCAAACATCCAGTGATTCAGTAAAGATATTGCAGAGGAAATATTAGCAGGGGAAGTGAATGACCACTTATTATTTCTATTTCATTAAAATGCATTTTTTTGTATGAAGAAAAATATTCCAGTTTTAGCATTTGCTTCCAATCAATGATGTTAGCACTTGATAAACAAGTCTGATTCTTTACAATATTTGCACAAAAACCACTTACTAGGACTCTCAGATGTCTTATAATGGAATCACATTTGTGAATTTTGCAAAGCACAATCCAGCTTAAAGTGATTCAAAACAGAAAAATAAATAGATTTTAACAGAAAGCAGCCG